ACATAATAGAGAAAATTAGAGGCAATATACGTATTTTCTTTTAAATAAACTGATCAATTTACTTAACTTGGTTTAGTGAAACCAGTTTGGTTAAATAAATTCAACAGTTTATTTGTTAGAGAGCATAAAAAAATGCAGTTACTTTCCTGATTTTTGTGAACAGTTTTATAACTTTTACTTAAGTACTTTTCTTGGTAAAGTCATTTTCTGTTCAGGTAATTTTACTTTTGCTTATTTATTTCAAGTATGTTATAAACCTGCAGTTGTAATGCTATTTTATTGTAAAGTTTTAGTACTCCATTCAACAGAAATCATACTACACTCGTGTAATTAATTCACAATGAAAATAAAATATTTATTAAAAATGAGAAGACATTCAAGAGACGTACTTAAAAAAAATGTTAAACAAATACATCCACACAGAACATAAAGGTAACAACTGGAAGTTTGGCCCAACTCAATTTGGCCTTATGGGAAATTTTCTTTCACTAAAAATGAGCCTATAAATCAGAACTAATTTTTTTAAGGATGTCATTTTACCAGATCTAAAACCAGGATTAAACCAGGTCTGAACTAGATCTATTCATTTCAGAGACGTCTGCCTGCCTTCAATAAACCAACAACCACAAAAAAAAAAAAATAAATAAATAAACTGAGTAAACAACACGACTGATTTGTTTTATTATTCATATCAAACATATTCATGAGTCTAGTCCTCTTAACTAAATATATTACAGTTTTTCTTGGCCCTCCTGTCTCTTGCCAAGGCATTAGACTTTCCCAGCTGCAGTTTCCTCTCTCTGGCTGTGGCTCCTTCAGTTTAGTGTAGTGTTTGGACAATAACTAAAAATTTAATAACATACTGAGTTACTAAAAAAAAATCACTACTTTTTAGAATCAGAAGAATGAAAAAATAATAAGAAAAATAAAGTAAAAAACAAGTTATTGATGTCAAGACTACTTATTTCATGCAAAACCAGTTTAAAAACTTTGCATTAAATCCGCATTTCCATCTGAATCACGTGAGTTCAGTATGGGATTACGTCCAGATTTGAGCTCTGCAACTAACAGTAAAAACAAACAAATAATCCCAGTTTCCTGAATCAGAGGCAAAAGAAAGTCCATCTTCAAAATGAAGTGCAGGTTGTTTACAATTTGTGCATGAAAGTGGACAAAAAGCATACACAATGAGAAGAGAACTGTCCCAACCCAGATTCCTGTGGAACACCAGGAATAACTCTGCAAGGCATTGAAGACATGAGGGCACATACAAAGTGAAATCTGTTGGACAAATAAGACTTAAACCAGCTCACTGTATCCTCAATCTCAATGAAAATGTCCTGTCTAATAATTAAGATGCTATATATTTGCACCTATCCACCGTACTAATAACATTGAACACAACACAAAGACCAAAATATTACAATGAGGACATTTGTAACTTTAACTTATGGAAGCCCATTTCCGCCACCCTGATAAAAAAAATAAATAAAACTTGTATCTCATAATTATGACTTAACTATCTCATAATTATGACTTATCTATCTCATAATTATGAGATAGTATCTCATAATAATGAGATACTATCTCATAATAATGAGATAGCTAAGTTATAATTATGAGACAGTATCTCATAATAATGAGATACTATCTCATAATAATGAGATAGCTAAGTTATAATTATGAGACAGTATCTCATAATTATGAGATAGCTAAGTCAAAGAGATATTATGA